TCTGCAGTCACTTTTGCAGCAGTTGTGCTCTTATTCCCCATAATCAAATCCCTTACTCACCACTTCCTGTAAACCCAGCATGAACCCACACATTAGCCCCCCCCCCCCCCGGGAACCCCTACTCTACCCCCCCCCGTAATCCTAGCACTAACCCTCTTTACAACCCCCTCACCATTCATCTTTGTTACCCTAACACTAAGCATCCTGATTGAAAACCTAACTTCTTGTTGGCATACTCACCTCTCCTGTACCAGGATCAGCTGCATCAAAGACCAAACTCTCTGTGCCAAAATATACTTACACCCAGCATGATGTTTTAAAATTCATTGCTTTAAATCAGGGGTCCTCAAACTTTTTAAACAGGGGGCCAGTTCACTGACCTTGACACTGTTGGGGGCCAGACTATAGTTTGAAAAAAATATGAACAAATTCCTATGGACACCGCATATATGTTATTTTTAGTGCAAAAAAACAGGAAAAAACAATACAATATTTAGAATGCATTGTACACTGTAACGCACTGGACTCTGATACACTGACACTAGACACCTCTGTAACGCACTGTACTCTGATACACTGGGCACCACAATGCACTGTACTCTGATACACTGGGTAACAATGCACTGTACTCTGATACACTGGACACTGCAGTGCACTGAACTCTGTAATGCGCACTATATTCTGATACAACTGGACACTGTAACGCACTGTACTCTGATACACTAGACACCGCAATGCACTGTACTCTGATACACTAGCAACCGCAACGCACTGTACTCTGATACGCACTGACACTGCAACGCACTGTACTCTGATACACTGTACTCACTTTGCACTGTACTCTGATACACTGGACACTGCAATGCACTGTACTCTGTAGCGCACTATTCTGATACACTGGACACTGCAACGCACTGTACTCTGATACACTAGACACCGCAACGCACTGTACTCTGATACACTGGACACCACAATGCACTGTACTCTGATACACTGGACACTGCAACGCACTGTATTCTGATACACTACACTGCAATGCACTGTACTCTGATACACTGGACACTATAACGCACTGTACTCTGATACACTGAACACTGCTGCACTGTACTCTGAGTACACTGGACACTGCAATGCACTGTACTCTGATACACTGGACACTGCAATGCACTGTACTCTGTAATGCACTGTACTCTGATACACTGGACACCACTATGCACTGTAGTCTGTAACGCACTGTATTCTGATACACTGGACACTGCAATGCACTGTACTCTGTAACGCACTGTACTTAAGCATGTATTGTCCCCAATCATGTGTGAACTAAATACCTATTTATTGCATAGTCTGCTTGAAAGGGTATATCACCAGTGTGCAGAGGGTCTTCAGAATTTACAGTGTTAATATGTGTTACACCCCTTTAGCACCCTGATGGATACATGCATGTACTAGCTGTTGGGATTTGAGCACAGGTATCTCTTGTTTGTTGCACTGTACTCTGTAACTCACTGGACTCTGATACATTGGACACCGCAATGCACTGTACTCCGTAACGCACTGTACTCTGATACACTGGACACCGCAATGCACTGGGCACTGGACACTAACGCACTGGAAACTGTAACGCACTGCAGTGACGTCACTAGGGTTGGTATCACCCGGTGCAGTAAAATATGGTGTCACCCCCTCCCCACCACCAAGTATAGTCTACCCTGAGTACAGACCTCCTCCCTCAGTACAGACCCCCCTCTCCACTAACTTAGTGGAGAGGGGGGGGTCTGTACTGAGGTAGGGGGGTTTGTACGTACTCAGCACACACACTGACCTGCTGTTCCCTCTCTTTATGGTCTTCTCTCTGATCTCCAGCGCACAAGCAGAGGAAATTTTAATCCCATGCTCTCCACACAGTCTAATTCTGAGTCTCCATCTCCTCTCCCCACTTCATGGGCGCCACTACCTATCGGCTCCCCCTGGAGGGATGAATGGAGGTTGGACGCCGGGAACATAGCAGTTCACCCCAGTCAGGGATCCTGGCCTTCGGTGGGCTGGAGCCGACACCCAAAAAGGTGTCACCCCTCTGGCAGGTGTCACCAGGGTGCGGTCTGCACCCCCCGCACCCCTATAGTGATGCCACTGATGCATGCACTGTAACATGGACATGCACTAACTGCGCTGGACAACAAAATGCACACTGTGCAATGCACTGATACACTGGACCGCAATGCACCACTGTACCTGGAGCCTGGTGTACTCTCCTCCTCTCCTGTTGCTCCTCTGGCTGTAGAAGGTGAAATCAGGGGCTTCCAGGCTGCCGCTCGCAGGGTCCTTGCAGCCAAGGACCCAGCAGCAAGCAGCCTAGCTGGAATTTACCAGCTGGCACCATCTTTTCTTTTCTCCCCAATTTTTTTTTTTTTTCAGCAGGCCTGGCCCAGCAGTCCGGATGTCTTTGGTGAGGGCCGTATCCAGCCTGTGGGCCATAGTTTGAGGACCCTTGCTTTAAATTTCTGACTCTGACAAGTGGACTCCAGGGTGGGCTTACTGGTAGGACAGTGCCCTTACAATTCACTCACTTCAGATTTCAGAGAACCACTATGATTGAATGGGGAGGCTGCCATATATTCTTTAAAATGTAGACTTCATCTCCCGATCCAGTGGAATCCGAGATAAGAAGTGTGCAGCATCAGGACATAGTTAAAAATAGAAAGGCCATTTAACTGGAAATGAGTTTGGTTAAGCCCTGGTGACTGTTAAACCCCGTAAACACAATGAGAATATCAGACGAATCTCCGTTTTTTTTTTTTTTTTTTTTGCATGCTAGTTTCATATGTAAAGTGAAGAGGTTAGTAAAGATACAAAAATGTTTGTATGACAGAAAGAAAATTCAGAAGTGATGTAATGTATTTGTATTGTATTTTCAGATGAAAACCGTTCTGATTAAACAAAAAGTCGTACGATCTGGTATCATACAAGCAAAATTTTCGTGCTTGTCACTTTAAATAACTGCGGACGAAAGCTGTGTATCACCATCAGATTATTGTACGATCGCTTCAAAAGCAGTATTTTTCATATGATTTTCTAGGCTTTGCTTTCTCATTTATCTAATTTTTTTCCTGCAACAGCTGGACAGAATACCCGGAAAGAAGTTTTATGGGGAATCGTTTAGCTTTGAAGGTGACATTGGGCATTCAGTGACCTTACATTGCCCATCAGGGTTAGTCAGTCTTTCACAGTGACCTGGACATTGGACTGTGGGAATGAGAGTCTGAACCATCACCATCATTACAAAGACAGAGTGCAATTCACAGAAAACAATCTGGAGATGACTATACCAAACCTAACAGCAGAAGACTCGAGAATTTATTTTTGTAACATGGAGAAATCACACACAAACTACATCGCAAAATACAACTCAGTGTGACACAGAAACCAGATTCCACAGGTAATAAAGTGCTAAAGTATTTCTTGACTGTTCATTTAGCTATCAGTGTCCATTTGCATAGAGTGGCTATAGCCGCAACACTGATCATTGTATTCTGATGGCGGGGAACTCTCCCAGCTGTTAGAACACAATGGCTCCACAGGAGAGATTCCCCTATCAACACCCAACTGGTTGAACGGAAAAAAAAAAATTTATAATGTATGGTCTGCCTTAAAGGGTTACTAAATCCCGGACCCTGCATTCACTATATCTGGTCTCCCACAGTACCAGACCATGGAAATGCAATTATTTTAGTAAATATAAACTGATAAATACATTTTCTCATCAGCAGTTAGAGCAGTCTTGTGACTTCTATCAGTGTCCAGCAGAGCACTGGTTAAAGCTTGTAGGAGGAGTTTTCTTTCTGTTCTAGGAGGATGCAGGACCCCTGACCACTATCTGGACAGTGCTGATTGGCCCTGTGCTGATCACATGCACTCTCCAAAGAAAAGAAAAAAAACCCCTCTCTCTTTACACACGAAACTGAGCATGTGCAGAGTTACTCCACATGATATGTCTTATCAGGAGATAAGAGGGGGCACTGGAAGGGGGCTTAGCAAATTTGGGCATCTTTTAAAAAAGGATGATATATGTTTTTGGAGAAGTTAATTTTTTTATATATTTTTACAAGTTGACAAGAGACATATTTTTATATTGCAGGAGTGGATACCGACAATGATCCCAATATACAAACTTACATCCTGTATGGTGTTATAGCACTTCAGACCTTTGTTGTATGCGTCCTCTTGGCGTTTGTGATTAGGCGACCCCACACAGGTATGTGTATTTAAAGGGACCCTGTTGGCAGACCATTGATTTTAACAACAATCTACCTATATAGTTATACAGTATCTGCATCATTGCCAGGTAGTGGTTTAATGTTGTTAGCCCGAAAACAAGGAAGTGCTGTTACTGAAGCATCCCCAGTCAAGAAACTTTGCAAAAGATTCACCCAAAAAATAATTTGCTTAACCAAAAGACAACAAATAGATTTTGGACTATCAAACCCATCTCCAGGCAAAAATGGAAACTTTGCTGTCCCCACTATCCTCTATATTGTGGTATGTTATTTTTGCACTTAATGCACAACTAAATGCAAATTAAGGGAGGGTAATAACCTTCGGGTCAGGTTTTTTTTTTGCCATCTAATTTTGTCAAATTGGGGAGATTCCCTTTCACTTTCTGCCCAAAGGCCAAAAACAGGAATTGAGAATTGCATTGGACAAGGTTTCGGGGCAGTTGAATGCTGCCAAGCATGACTGGGGGGATGATTGCTGCTGCACCATGACCATGGTATGTGTACACCCCCCAACCTCTGCCTTTGCAGCTTAAGAGGGAGCAGTAGAGGGGCAGTAATATGTCCCAAACTAGTGTCCCCAGACTACTGTATTGCATTGGACAAGGTTTCGGGGCATTTGCGACATGGCCTCATTCAGGTGAATGCTGCCAAGCATGACTAGGGGGATAATTGTTGATGCACCATGACTCCCCCTTTGCAGCTTAAGGGGGTGGTTTTAGCTCTGTAATGGAGGGGATTCTGCCCACTGACCCCCAATGTAAGGAGAATTCTTCTCACTGACCACCAAAGGAAGGGACATTCTTCCCACTGACTAGAAATGTAAGGGGCATTCTTCCCAGTGACCACAATGTAAAAATATTCTTCCCACTGGCCAACAATGTAAGGTACATTCTTCTCACTGACCACCAATATAAGGTGCGTTCTTCCCATTGACCTCAATGTAAGGAGCATTCTTTCCACTGATCGCCAATGTAAGGAACATCCTTCCCATTGACCCCAAGATAGGGAGCATTCTTCCGTCTGACTACTAATGTAAGGAGCATTCTTCTCACTGACCACCAATGTAAGCAGCATTCTTCCCACTGACCACCAATGTAAGGGGGCATTCTTCCCTCTAACCAACAATGTAAGGAGCATTCTTCTCACTGACCACCAATGTAAGGAACATTCTTCCCATTGACCCCAATATAGGGAGCATTCTTCCGTCTGACTATCAATGTAAGGAGCATTCTTCTCACTGACCACCAATGTAAGGAGCATTCTTCCTCATTGACCACCAGTGTAAGGAGCATTCTTCTCATTGACCTTCACACTAATGTACTGTGCATTGCAGATATAGTAATTATTATAGTAGAGTTTCTTGAGACTGAAAAGATATTCCAAGGGTTCCTCCATAATAAAAAAAGCTGCTCTAAATTCTGAAAACAATAGTAAATTACTGTTATTGTTTTTTACAGCTGTCACATCAGGCTCTGATGAAATGGTAAGTCTACTGTTTAGTATATTCATTTTTTAGTCAGGTGTATAAAGATATATATATTTAAATAATACAAAGTAGCTAAAGCACTCCTCCTGTTTTATTATTTCTTCAATAAGACATTACAATGTTTCCATAGATAGACCCTGAAAACTGCAACAGTTTCAGTTTCTTTGACTCAACCCATCCTCAAGTTAATTGTCTAATCAACTATCTCACAGCAACTTTACTAACTATTGACCTAACTCATGTTTACTTTATAGTCACTGACCTGGACTCACATCCACTTTTAAAAAAGTAACTTTAACATGTATTTACCTTGTGGTATAAGGTGATGTTACATAACAAGGCCATATGCCACAGTTTCTTTGACTCAACCCATGCCATTAGGGACCAATGGGTGGAATTATAGACTGACCTGGTTGACATAGTAGCACATGAAAACACATGATTGCTGACAATGGATGTACATAAAAGAACATGGAAAAGTATGTAGCACTTCCCCCTTAGGGTTGCTGAGTTTGGGGTCCCACTTTAGTCCTGCACACAGACTTGCATCCAGGAGACAGTAACCAGTCCTTGAGCTTGTTTTTTTTGGGGGATTTTATTAGGGGGATTTAATTTGGATGGGGTAAGGGATGTATGGGATGCCCAAAGGGAACAGAAACTTTGGACAATCTTACTGGAACTGTGTAAAAGTCTCTTCACAGCAAAAATAATCTTGTTGGAAAGCAAGCTAGCATCTCCTGGTGTACCAACTCAGACCCCAGATGAATCCTCTCCTCATCAGCTGTACTGGGTGAATCCTGGGCAGGGGATCCAGTGCCTGTCACTTTAAATTTAAGACAGTCACAGGTAGCAAGCTAATTTCCCACAGAGTGCTCTCTCCCTTTCTGGCCCAGGGAGTGCAGGTCTACTCACTCAGTCCTCTGTCTGTGAGCTGATGGGTTGGTGGCTGCTCTCAGGCCTTCTGCTGAGCCGCTACTTCCCTGTTGCACAGATGGTCCTTGCTCTGGGGGTCGATGAGTTCCTGAGCTTTCCTCCTTTCCAACTCCTCTGCTTGTAAGTGATCCCCTTCCCATCTGAGCCCCCTCACAGGCTCCTGCTCTCCAGCCTCTCACTTCATCTTCCCCCTGAACTCTCTTGCTGCCGAGCAGGTGCCACCACATTTGAAGGCTGCCCTGGCCCCATGCCAAGCCTCCTGCTTGGGATTGGCCAGGGTCCTCCAAGTCTGCAGGCCATCCCCTCCTCACACCCGCCCACTATCTTCAGAATCTTCTCCAAGAATCTAGAGCAGGGGGAGATATCAGGGAACTGGCCTGCAGAGCCTCCTATCTCTGATCCAAATTTGACCCTGCTATCTATCACACCCAGGCTGCTACTCAGCCATCCTAGCTAAAATTGAACTCTAGCTCTCCCTGGCTAACTAGAGGGGCACTACAAGTATATGAATCCAGTCTAAGGCTCCATTCACACTTATATGTGCACAGGTGTAAATAGGCCCCAATGATAGAATTTATAATTTATTTAAACTTTTTGGTTTTAGAATCCAAAGATGACAGAAAATGTTATTAAACTTAGTTTCTGTTATGTGCTCCATTTTATACAGGTCAAAGAGGAGATTCAATATGTTGAAATCCACAGGAAAAATAAACCTCAGCAGTCAAGGATCAGAGAAGCTCATGAACAAGTCATCTATTCTCCAGTAAAAAGCAGCAATATTTGAGTTATTACTGTTGAGCTGATTATGTTAGCAATAGAATTCCTAATTTTCACAGAAGGTGTACAAAAGTAGAACAGCACAGTTAAGAAGTCTGGCGTGTCAAACAGTTAGGCTGCCTATAGATGGATCAAAGTTCAGCCCATTCAGCAGCGAATGGCCAAACTTTGATCCATCTATGGCCCATATTCCCACTCTAGCAGACGCTCGGAAATCCAAGCCCTCTGTGTACGGGGAGAAGTTCCCTGTACCAGCTGTCACTTTTTTAAAAAAAGAGCATCCTTTGCGGCTGTCGGCTTGTAGTTCTCAATTAAGTGCCCTAGTAGTTCATTGAGTCTTCCTGTGATTGTGTAACTGCCTGCCTGTATGGTGTAGGAGCAAACAGCCTATACTGACAGTCTGCAGGAGCCCTGCATGGCACCAGCGATTTGCTGATCGTGGGGCAATGCTTTCCAGGCTCCTTGAAAAAAAAAATGCAAAAAATGTGCATTTATTATTTTTTTTAAAAGTGAACTTATCCTTTAACAGAAGTTAATATACTGTAACGTTCTACATCTGTCAAACAGGACTGTTGGAAACCTTTTGTTGTTCAGCAGCTGCAACCACTGATCACTGAGTGGAGAAGTCCTACTGTCAGAATACAATGGCACAGTGGTGAGGATCCATTCACCTTGCATGTGGATGGGGGAATCCAGCCTTACTACGCATGAGCTATGACAAACTGATGGCTGTCACCTGTTGGTATTTACCTATTGGCATTCCATCCAAGGGAATACTAGCCAATAAAATCGTTGGAATGGACTAGTATCCCTGGAAACTTGGGAATAGAGGGAACCTGTAATTTTGTTTTAATAACTTCTGAAAAAAATATGTATAATTGTGTAAAATTTGGACTGCAACTGGAAAGAACTACCTAACGCATAGGTCACTGATCCCCAGCTGAAACTTTAACAAGATTTTCACTGTTTTTTTGAAGGGCCTTTTCACACCAGCAATTCACAAGCAACATGCCCCCTATGTAGAGTCCCACAAGTTCCATATGTTGTTCCCTCACTGGCTGGATGAGTGAGACTTTGCTTGTGTCAGGACTGCCAAAGTGGCATGGCCCTGACACTAATCCACTCCCTAGCTTTTAAGCTATGATGTTTACTTACTCCCTTATCATGGCTGCAATCTTCTCTGGTTTTACTTCTGTGCTTAAAGACTTGAATGGTGCTGTATATCAGGACTGGAGATCCTTGATATCAGGTCCTTTCTGGTCAATGGGGAATCAATGTGGAAACATGGCTAGTGCTAAAGAGAATTTTGCTTTGGAGGATGTCAGCATCTGAGTAGGCTGTGGCTGTGATACAGAGGTAAGTAGTTAGCTTAAGTGCGGTTGGACCAGGGGCGGACTGACAACTCATGGGGCCCCGGGCAATAGGGGATCATGGGGCCCCTGTGTCCTTGCCCAAACTCAAAAAAGCCTATGAAAAAAAAGATACCAGGGGCATCTCATGGGGCCCTCTACTGATCCCGGGCCCTCGGGCAGTGCCCGAGTTTCCAAATGGTCAGTCCGCCCCTGGGTTAGACATACAGTAAGTATAAATAATGTCCACGCTACAGGTATGACATTCTTTCTGGCAGGCCAATTTTCTGATAGTCTGCAATAGACAGTCTTCCACCTTGGAGAACCAGAATGGACCATTGTTGGTTACCACCAACTGGAACTGTCAATGTATGCACTGAAGCCTTGCTGCCCTCTTCTGTTCAGGGGGACCAAAACTTTAAACACAAGCAAAGGAGAAAAAAAACACAGGCGTTGTAACCATCAAACGTATAACCATCAAGTGGGGCACAGCTAACACTTTGAGGGCCATGCCCTCTTCCTCAGAGCTCTCAAGAAGAGGATATTTGCTCTCCAAACACGTTAGATGTGCCCCATTTGACGGTCATACTACTGGTGGGGTTTGTACTTTACAGCTCCTGTGTTTATTCTCCTTTTGTGAGTACAGTGGATTTTCTTTTTATGATTTATTAAAGGGTTTTACAGTAATGCACTAGGCTGGTGCACTTCTCCCTATGCTCCTATGTGTTCAAGTGTAGTTGGGTTTAGTGCAGTCTAGCCTAAGAGGAATGTTTTAGCATTGGCTTACAGAAGTTAACTTGCCCTTTAAACATCATGATCAGTCCTTTTACAGCATGCACTTAAAATTTTGAATAATATTGTACTCTGAGCAGAAGACCAAATTATCACCCTAACCACACTTTAAATGACGTTTCTGAAAAGCAGACTGGGCAGAGCTTTGAGTACCTTTTCAAAAAGTAACATTAAGAAAGAAATCACCAGACAATAGCCATTCCTCTCTTATGACCAGAAACATGAAGGTCCTTGTACATTTCTACTATTATCTTCTGCTTGGCTTCCTCCATCTCATTACTAACTGGTAAGGGAGAATTTAGGGTGCCTTCTTCTATTATCATTTAGCATAAAATGGGCACTTGCTTTTTTTCTACAAGAACACTGCATTTGTTTGCATTGAATGTAGTAAGGGTATTTTACATATTTTTATTACCTGGCTTGGAAAAATCAAGAAAATACATTTTTTATTTTTAATTTTTCTCCCATTTTTTCATTAGCAACTATATTTTTGTTAAGCTGTTCACATTTAAGCGCTGATCCCTTAGGGGGTATATTTAAAAAGTGGAAAATGTGACATTCACCACACATTTGCTATCAATTAACATCAATAGTGAGTATGTTTTAAATTAAAGAGAAAGATTAACCACCAACTGTCTGGTGAATGTCATATTTGCTGATTTATAAATATGCCCCTTTCTAGCTTAATAATTCTATAATGGGATGACATTGCATGCTATCTCAGTGAAAATAAGGGTTCAAAGAGTAGTATTAAAAGATAATTCCAATAAGGAATATTCAACATCAATAGTTGTCTTTGCTTTCTTTTTTTTAATTAGTTTTTTATGTGATTATTTGTCTAAATTTTATAACGAATTTACAGTTTTATTTTACTACAGTTTTATTGGATTATGGTTAAAGTTATGTGGATTAGATAATAAATGTTTGTCTAAAATCTGTTTAACAAAAAAAAAAAAAGACTATAA